GGATAGGAATCCTTTTCTTACTAAAAGTCCCACTCGCTCTATTTTGCACCCTTTATATTTGGTATTTTACTGATTGTACTCCCAAAGAATTTTGCATTTTGAGCTTTCATTGGACGGAATATTTTCACATGAAAGGAGTAGGTCCACGCTTTGAAATGAGCCCCATTAGGCCTTTTCGGTAATTTTTGTTTGTTTAAATGTGTTCGCATCTTCCAGCTGAAGCACGATGAAGGTCCTGGAGTTGAAAGCTAGAACCCAATTTTAGACATGAAAGATGCCAGGCCGAAATTGTAGGCCCTGGAGTTGAAAGGTAGATGTCAGTTAACATCGTATGTCGCACTTATTTCATTTTTCAATATGATGATACGAATTGAAGCAAATTGACAAAAGAAGAATAACAAATTGATAAAATCTTCAACTTGTTCGCCGATTCCCCATTAGGCATAGCCTCAATTTAAAAGTACGTTGAGATTTTTAATGTTTTGCAAAAGCCATTTTGAAACAATTCTACATAATACTCCATATCAAAATTTTCTTTAACGAAAACGTTTCCACTGTAATTACAAATAACCAAAAGAAAATTTGAGTCAGATCGTCCTAGCCGTTCTCAACTTACTATACTCTTTTATGTTTTTTTTTTCATATAGATTTAAAGAAGTAGGTGTGGCCAGTTCTTCCGGCCCCAAACAGATACCTATGGTAGAGTGAAGATTACGTCGTATACTACCTGTAGAACAGACATATTCATGATTTTGGCAAATATTAGGATTTTAGATAAATCGAAAAAATTGGCGTAAAATTGGGCGTGGTCACTTTTTCTTTGCATAAAAACCTTACTCGGGATAGAACGAACATTTAGAAAAAAATACCAACGAACAACAATTTTTTTATATATATAGAGTAGGCGTGGTCAGTTGCTCAGCACCCAAACAAATACTTAGGGCTGGAGGGAAAGTCAACAGTATCTCATGTTATAATTTTTTAATCGAAATCTTCATTATTTGCAAATATAAGGATTTTAGAAAAATCAAAATAGTGGGCGTAAATGTTGGCGTGGTCAATATTTTTTTCTTTAAAAACCTAACTCGGTGTATGACGAACGTTTGTACAACAAATTATGCAAATCGGTCCAGCCGTTCTCAACTGATTCCATTACCAACGAACAACAATTGATTTTTATATATATACTAGCTGGCCCGGTCCGCGTTGCCGGCCCGTACTTTTAGTCTTTAAAGCATAATAAATCACAGATCTGACTTATGTAGGCGGCACAATTTTGATTATAAGTAATGACGCCATTATAATTACTCCAATTTTGATTATAAGTAATAACTTGATTATGAGTAATGACTCCATGACTAAATATAAATTAATATTCATGGCAAAAATTATAATTACCGTCGGTTTTAGATATTTTGAATGCCCTGATCTTATTTTTCAGCTATAGGCTTTAATTTGAGTGTTAAATACCTATATGATAAAGAACATCTATAATAGCCCCATGTGAAAATTCAGCTCAATTTTTGATATTGTAAAAAGCATTCAAATGAGCTATAATTTGAAATTTGCATTTCCAACGTTTAAAATCCCGTACTGCGTGGTATTCAGTTTTGTCCACCTCATACTTGAAGGCAGAATGTTGTCAGAATAGCCCAAAAATTACTCTTTTGCTCCGATTACCGTAAGATGGACATTAATTGTTTGTCATTTAAAGTTTGCGGTGGAGATCCAATAAAGTTGCTTTATAATTTCGTATTTTGTTCATGTTTCTGCCACAATTTCCGACTGAATGAGTCCCAGATTGACATTTCGGAGTTTATTTCATACCAAAACGTGATAATTTTTTGCAAAGATGGTTTCTTCTTAAATTATCAACATAAGCTAAAATTAGTACGAAAAATATGTTTAAAATGTAGAATATACTTGAAATCGGGTTGTTCCGTTATCAGGGGTTATGATCCACATCATGACCTGGCAAAACGATTAAAGGTATCTTGAATGTTTAGGTAGAATTTCTATTTTGCGTTCTTTATAGTCGGTATTTGACGGATTGCAGTCCCAATGTATTTTGCATTTTGTGTTCTCATTTGACAATTTATTGAAAGAAGCAGGTCCACTTTTTGAAATTAGCCCCATAACGCTTCTTTGGTCATTTTTGTTTGTTTAAATGTGTTCGCATCTTCCAGCTGAAGCACGATGTAGGTCCTGGAGTAGAAAGCATTTAACATCGTATTGCACCCTCATTTCATTTTTAATATTATTCATTCAGAATTTAAACCAATAAAAAATGTACACTTCAATATAGAAAAAAGAAAAAGAATCTTCAACTGGTTCGCTGATTTTTTTTTTGCAGCAAATTTTTAAAGGTCCCTACGAAGTTTGCCGGTAGAATGTACTATTATTTTGAAATTCGATTCCATTAAAAAATTGTCGATTTTTCCCGATCTTAGAATTTTCATATAAAGCGACAACGGATAAAATTGTTATTTATAGATTTTATGTATCTATTGGGTATTACGAATAAATATATAAAATCTATAAATAACATTTTTATATGTTGTGGCTTTATACTACCAAAAAAAAAACTTACACATCATATTAGAATTCCAAAAAAACAAAAAACACTACAAATGTACATTCGAAAATAGTAAGTCAAAATTTAAAAATAATGCAATATAAAACATTACTATTGTACATTTTAAAAGTCAAAATGAAAATGTTCAAATTTCACATTTTTACGCGATTTTTTTGGATTTTATTCTTTTCTGCCAAGAGGCAATTCCGAATTTGTCTAAATCGTTAAAATCAGACCGGCGGTCTTTATGTTATAAGAGTAGTAACTAACACAACTTTCTTTTACATATAGAGAGATAGATTTAAAAGTAGCCGCGTTCCTCAGCCCCTAAGTAAGTACTTAGGGTTGGATGGAAAGCCAACAGCATCTCGTGTAATAATTCTCAAACCGAGATCTTCACTATTTTGGCAAATATAAAGATTTTAGATAAATCGTAATAGTGGGCGTAAAAGGAGGCGTGGTCAATATTTTTTTCCTTAAAAACCTAACTCGGGGCATGACGAACGTTTGTACAAAAAATTATGGAAATCGGTCCAACCGTTTTCAACTGATTCCGTTACCAACAAACAACAATTGATTTATATATAAATAAGATATATATATATATATATATATATATATATATATATATATATATATATATATATATATATATATATATATATATATATATATATATATATATATATATATATATATATATATATATATATAATTGATTGAGGGCCACGATGTTAGAACGAAAAATTTAACGATTTCTTGCTCCAGCTTCGGTTTAGTATTTGCTACTATATGTGGATAATGTATTTGATTGCGGTAAATGATTTGAAAGCAATAAAGAAGGAAAATCGGATCTACGTGCATCATTCAAAATGTCAGATTGTGGACCGCTACAACATTATTATTACAATCAGAAAAATCACATTGAAAAATTCTCAATGAAAGAGTGCAATCCTACAAAAACTCCAATGGAAAAGGCATTGATTTTTCCTATAGAAACCCAACGTTAACGGACAAACCATATCGGGAATTGCGGGGAAGTCTAATGTATTTAATGTTAAGAGTCCGAGCAGTCATTTGTTATCAAATATCGTACATGGGTAGAAAGAAAAAGGGTGTATTTTAGTCAGAAACAGATTTTCAGGGACTTCTATTTATAAGATATGTTTCTGTTATAAGCATAGACCTTACTTTTTCAACGAAAGTGCGGTTAAATCTTTCAGCAACCCCGTTTTGCTGTGGGCTATAAGAAACTGTGTGCTGAAGCTAAATTCCATTCCTTTTAAAATATTCCTTTGCTTTGTTTGAAAGATATTCTGCACCTTAGTCTACAGTGCATTGTCCTAGTCATTGCTTCAAAATCGACAAATTTGTCGAATGCATCTGATTTTCTTTTGAATTGGAATATGAATGCGAAGTGGCTATAATCATCTATGAAGCTTACAAAATATTTGTGACCATCCTATGTTCGCGGATCAATTGGTCCACATATATCACTGTGGATTCTTTCGAGAATGCGACTGAACTTTGGACGAATATCTTTAAAAGAACAACGACACATACATTGGATATGGCTACAGGCTTAACATTTTAACCATGAATCAGTTTATGTCGAACCATTTCTTCCAGACAATGGTCACAAGGGTGACGCATTTTTGAGTGTCATAATTTTCCCAATTCAGTTGTACTTGAACTTGCATTTGCCCTATCTTCATTTCTTATCTGAAATACGTACAAACTTCCTTTCTTGGGAGCTGTCATAACGACCTATCATCCCTTTTCAAAAAAAAAAAAAAAAAAATAATAATAATAATTATTAAATTAAACTTATATTCCAATCTCTGTTAGCTTTGGCACAGACAGCAAGTTATCCCGAATTCCTTTAACATGTGTATCTTTGCTATATCCTTTGATTGTACACTTTTTGTAAGTTAAAAGATTTTCAGTGTCTTCCGCAAGCATAATGGTAATGAATTCATTCAAATTTTGGAGATTTTTGAAACACCAGTCATGTTTACATTTATGATCCGTCGCCTCAGAATTTATTTTAAATACTAAATCTTCAGACTTATCTTTAATAAACAAATTGACTTGGAGGCTAACACTGTATTAGCTTTTTCATTTTACAAACGAACGCGGCAGTTCTTTTGTTTATGGACCTTTTTTTACAGCGGAAACAGCATCTCTTTCATCCACATTGGCTCCAAACGTTTTTAATTTTCGTAAATGCTCATCAAACAGTAGTAAATGTTTTCGCAAATCATCACCAGGCTTCATTTGCAGAACCGCTAATTGTTTTTTAACAATGTCTGCCTCGTAATCGACTTCTTAGCAAATGTATTTTGAAGAGCAGACCCACAAAAAATGCCAATGTATGTGATTGAAACAATATTTAAATTACTGAGTTATTTAAAAAATTGAAGTATTAAGGTGTCGCAACAGTATGAGAATTTGTTTGCTCGCTTTTCTAATTTTATTATAATATTTGAAGGTAGATTTATTGAGTATCGGCACTTTGGTGGAGCTGATTGGTTGTGGATTTAAATTTTTTATGTGATTTTTATTACAACCACTATACCATATTATTATTATTATCGCAGCGTCCAATGTGCAGTTCCGCAAGTTTCTGCCTTGGGCCCGTTTTATATTTATTTTTTAATAACATCGAGCACTTAGTTGTTGATGGCAGGCGTTGTCTGTTTGTATGCAGATAATATCGACGTTTTTTCCATAGAAGCTGATATTGATGGATGAGTTGAAACGTCTTGGTATTGTAGTTCTCGTTATGTGTTTTTGGCTTGCGGGCGAAATTAAAAAAACTGAAATGAATTAAATAAAATTAATTTCGTCTTTTGGAATAAATGTTTTTAAGATATTATAGAACAACAAATTCTATTTCACTACCGAAAATTTCAAAGTCCTACGTTGCTGAATTTTCTAATTACATAATGCTAAAATTGAGAAATTTTCACGTTTTCGGAAGGAACAATTGTTTTTGGTTTTTCTAAGGGTAATAATTTAGTAGTTTTCTCATCGAAAGTAATCATTTTAAGAACGAAACATCGACTACATGTAGCTATCAGTATTTTAGATTAAAAAAGTCTTAAGAACAGTTTTTAACATCAGTTATATATAATTTTTTGAAATATTAATTAATTATTTATTTATTGACACTTAAACTTATATTAATTATAAGTGAATAATAAAGATTCATGCTAAATTCTTTCTTTTACTGTTTATAATGCTGTGGAATTTAAATTGGGTTTCAATTTGCTCAAACCAAAGGAAATCCCATTGCTTTCAAAATTTGGAAACTTAAATTGTTATTGTTAGGTTTGCTTTTAATCCATTGCCTGCAGCAAAACTCCTCGAATCGCCTCCAAATGTAGAGCCTTTGAATTTTACAAAGGTTGCGGAATATCGGGGTCAATAATATATTGGATCCAATCTGAAAATACATTTTTTTAAACGACAAAAAAAAAATAAAATTGTATGTTGAATAAAAAATGAATTCCAAGTAGTTTGGAGTGCCACACATGTTTTTAATTGAACACAAAATGTTGTTTTAAATATGTTACTACATTGTCGCGTTCTTCCTTGATTTTTGAGAAAATATAAAATTAATCAAGCTCGAAGTTATTCTCTTCCGCCATCACTAGCAGACATTTCAGGAGGGTGTTCCAATATTTGATCAATAAGTCCAAGTTGTTTTGCTTCCTCTGGAGACAAAAAATTGTCTCTTTCCATAGTTGATATAAAGTTTCGTAAGATCGACCAGAGTGTTTCACATAAATTTTCGTAAGTTGCTTTTTTAACTTGATAATTTCCTCAGCTTGTATTTGAATATCTGTCGCTTGACCCTAAAATGTAAAAAAGTGAAATTAGAATTTGAATAGCTCATAAGATCTGTATCAGAATCGAATCAGTATATATACGTCAACAAAGAGCAGCCGACTGAATTTTTTTGTGTAAGCAAAAGGGATTTAGAAATCGAAATCTTATTTGTTTATTTTGTAAGTAGCGAGTTACGGCCATGTCAACAACAATTCTCACCTTATTTTATGTTTTAATATTACCTTGTATCCATTTATTCAAATTTGGAAGCTTAAGACTGATATATATATATATATATATATATATATATATATATATATATATATATATATATATATATATATATATATATATATATATATATATATATATATATATATATATATATGTTATGTTTTTAAGGTTTGAGAATTATTACACGAGATGCTGTTGGCTTTCCATCCAACCCTAAGTACTTATTTAGGGGCTGAGGAACGCGGCTACTTTTAAATCTATCTCTCTATATGTAAAAGAAAGTTGTGTTAGTTACTACTCTTATAACATAAAGACCGCCGGTCTGATTTTAACGATTTAGACAAATTCGGAATTGCCTCTTGGCAGAAAAGAATAAAATCCAAAAAAATCTCGTAAAAATGTGAAATTTGAACATTTTCATTTTGACTTTTAAAATGTACAATAGTAATGTTTTATATTGCATTATTTTTAAATTTTGACTTACTATTTTCGAATGTACATTTGTAGTGTTTTTTGTTTTTTGGAATTCTAATATGATGTGTAAGTTTTTTTTTTTTGGTAGTATAAAGCCACAACAGATAAAAATGTTATTTATAGATTTATAGAACTGGCCACATCTACTTCTTTAAATACATAACATTTGAAAAAGTATAGTAACACATCAGTTGAGAACGGCTGGGCCGATTTGACTCAAATTTTCTTTTGGTTATTTGTCATTACAGTGGAGACGTTGTCATGAAAGAAATTTTTGAGACAAATCGCGGAACTGAAAAAATTGACTGTTCTATTATGATATGGAATTTTGTGTAGAATTGTTTCAGAATGCCTTTTGGAAATGAAAGTTCTTATTGAAAAAAAAAACCGAAAAAATGGAGAAAGTTTTCATATTTTCTATACATGCCGTTATATGGTTGCCATACCCAAATTTTTAATTTTGATTAGATATGGAAATAATCCATCCAATGAGAACTCAAAATGCAAAATTATGAAGAGGCACTGTTATATGCGGACTATACAAAATAGTGAAGTGAATTGAAAATATAGTAAGAAAAGGATTCATATACTCGGAAAATTCTTCCGAACCCTTAAAAGTAACCTTAAATCATAGGTAACGTTCTACGGGCACTACAATCTTGGAAGACAATCATGGGGTTAGGAAATTTTTCGGTTGGTAAAAAAATCTCTGGGGACCCCGGTCTAACTTTTTTAGAGTTCATTTTATATAGCTTAACCATACACAAAGGGCCATAAATACTCCGCAAAAGTTACGATAGAGTTTTAAATTTGATACAGTCCTAGGGGTTACATGAGGAATCATTTGTACAAAATATGTATCAGGTTGGTCTACATTGTGACCTCAAATGTTGGTAATTTGAGATTCTAGAAAGAAAAACAAATTCTTTCAAATCATAGTATAGGACCATGCTTCATTATAACTCTTACGCGAAGGTATGCGGTGATTTTAGCTATTATCATGGTCTTGGTCACATTTTCCAATTGATTTTGCCCTTATTTGAAATTTAGCTTTTGGTAGAAAACATCTTCGCGGATATTTTTCAATGTCAATGTTTCGGAGTAGAACTCAGTACTTCCTGATTTTTACCTTCCCAGTAGAGGCAGCGGGATTAGCAAACGAGCGTGATGATCTCCGTCGTACCAACCCTACTGATCCTAGAATCAGTGATTTGACAGTGGAAGTCAACCGCTTGGTACAGGAGCACAAGAGGAAAAAGTGGCTAGACCATCTGAAGTGTTGCAACATTAGAACCGATATGAGTAAGCTGTGGATAACGGTTAAGTCGCTCTCGAACCCTGGAATAAAGGATGATAGGACCTCAGTCACTTTTAACGACGTAACGGTGACTAATCCGAAGAGGTGCGCGGAGTATTTTAACAGACAATTCGTCGAGCATCCCGAGAGCGACAGGGCGAAGCGAAATGTACTGCGTCGTATCAGATCTCTTCCCGCCGAGGAGGAACCACCACAGTTTACGATGGGTGATGTTGCAAATGTCATCCGTAACGCTAAGTCATCCAAAGCGTTGGGCCAGGACGGAATCTCAATGGTAATGTTGAAGCAGCTGGATACGCCGGGAGTCGAGTACTTAACGAACGTTCTCAATTTATCGCTAGCCACTCACATAGTGCCCGAAACCTGGAAAATGGGCCGGGTGGTCCCGCTACTGAAGCGGACGTGCAGAGAACTACCCTCCGGCCAAGTTTGAAACGTTGGATAATCAACTATATGTGTGGACGCCAGTCGTAAGTGGAATTCCGGAAGAAGAAGTCCAAAGCCCGTAGAGTGAAACGGTTGGTAAATAAAAATACCAAAAGAGGGGTTCCCGGATTTTAGCTATTGCCAGGGTCTTGGTCACATTTTCCAATTGATTTTGCCCTTACTTAGCATCTGGCTTCTGGTAGAAGACCTTCTCGCGAACATTTTTCAATGTCAATGTTTCGGAGTAGCGCTCATATAAAAGTACCTCCTGATTTTACCTATTTCGAGGGTTTGATTATATTTTGGAATCGATTTGACTTAAAATGTGTGTTTAGGCTGCTTTGGGGCTAGAGAACCATGGGCCTATTATAAACAGTTAGTGTATACTTCTTAATATATATCCTATATTATTTAGGTTTTTAAATCTTAAACTAAAACCTCTTATTAAAAAAAGGATCAGGTTTTTTGAAAGACTAATTTATTTCTATTTAATCCAGTCGTCATTTATACAAAAAAAATTGTGCCACTTACGTGAGCCAGATTTGTGAATTATTATGCTTTGAAAACTATGCATTAAAGACTATAACTACAGGCCGGCAACGCGGACTGGGCCAGCTAGTTGTTTATAATTGTCCATTTATATTGAAATTGAAGATAGTTGGATTCTTATTTTTCATTTATTGTTTTTCAAAATCTTGAACCGTAGGTGGAGCAGGTAGCAAAATAAATGGTCCGATCTCTACCATTTTTATAACAGATCTTGTGTTGATAGAAATATTTTAGATGTACCTTTTGTGGAATGGAATCGGATGTTGATTTCGCTTTTTATGAGCCTTATGGATATTCAAAATTTTGAGCGTTTGTGAGGGAGGGTACCAGAAGAAGCGGATCGATATTGTCAATTTTCGCACCAGACCTAGCACTGACGCAAATATTAGGATATGCAAAGTTGGAGAAAAATCGGATTATCGTTTCTCTATCTGTGCAAAATAAAATATATTTTTTTTTTGAAAATGTTGACCATTTGTGGAGGAGATTGCAGAAGGAGTGGACCGATATATTCCACCTAAACACCAGACCTTGGGTTAATGTAAATATTGGGATGTGTGCAATTTGAAAGACAAAAGAAATCTTACACCACATTTTATGAGAGTTATAGTTATTCAAAATTCCGTCCATTTGTGGGGGAGGTACTTGATGGAGTGGCCCGATATTGTCCATTAGGCAAATATTAGGATTTGCAAAGTTGAAGCAAAATCGGATTATTGTTTCTCTATCTGTGCAAAATAAAATATATTTTTTTTTTTGAAAATGTTGACCATTTGTGGAGGAGATTGCAGAAGGAGTGGACCGATATATTCCACCTAAACACCAGACCCTGGGTTAATATAAAAATTGGGATGTGTGAATTTTGAAGACAATCGGACTCTTATATCACATTTTATGAGAGTTGTAATTATTCAAAATTTCGTCCATTTGTGGGGGAGGTACTTGATGGAGTGGACCGATATGAACATTTTCAATTCTATTTATTGATTGATATATATATATATATATATATATATATATATATATATATATATATATATATATATATAAATATATATATATATATATATATATCCGTCTTAAGCTTATATATATATATATATATATATATATATATATATATATATATATATATATATATATATATATATATATATATATATATATATATATATATCAATCAATAAATAGAATTGAAAATGTTCATATCGGTCCACTCCATCAAGTACCTCCCCCACAAATGGACGAAATTTTGAATAATTACAACTCTCATAAAATGTGATATAAGAGTCCGATTGTCTTCAAAATTCACACATCCCAATTTTTATATTAACCCAGGGTCTGGTGTTTAGGTGGAATATATCGGTCCACTCCTTCTGCAATCTCCTCCACAAATGGTCAACATTTTCAAAAAAAAAAATATATTTTATTTTGCACAGATAGAGAAACAATAATCCGATTTTGCTTCAACTTTGCAAATCCTACTATTTGCCTAATGGACAATATCGGGCCACTCCATCAAGTACCTCCCCCACAAATGGACGGAATTTTGAATAACTATAACTCTCATAAAATGTGGTGTAAGATTTCTTTTGTCTTTCAAATTGCACACATCCCAATATTTACATTAACCCAAGGTCTGGTGTTTAGGTGGAATATATCGGTCCACTCCTTCTGCAATCTCCTCCACAAATGGTCAACATTTTCAAAAAAAAAATATATTTTATTTTGCACAGATAGAGAAACGATAATCCGATTTTTCTCCAACTTTGCATATCCTAATATTTGCGTCAGTGCTAGGTCTGGTGCGAAAATTGACAATATCGATCAGCTTCTTCTGGTACCCTCCCTCACAAACGCTCAAAATTTTGAATATCCATAAGGCTCATAAAAAGCGAAATCAACATCCGATTCCATTCCACAAAAGGTACATCTAAAATATTTCTATCAACACAAGATCTGTTATAAAAATGGTAGAGATCGGACCATTTATTTTGCTACCTGCTCCACCTACGGTTCAAGATTTTGAAAAACAATAAATGAAAAATAAGAATCCAACTATCTTCAATTTCAAT